TTTTCACCAGATTTGACGTACTAGCTTCTAGACTCAGTTCGGTCGTAAGTGCCAAATTCCATCCCATTTGGAGAAATATTAGACGTTTGGAGCAACAAATAAAGGTAAATCGGACGGAGTTATATATGGGAGCTATATCCAGTTCTGAATCGATCCCGATAAAATTAGCAATGTATTTCTGAGCTGTATTTGATATATTTCCCCAAATATTGTTGTTACAGATGGCATATTACGGCTGCGGAGGACAAAAATAACAAATCGGATGAACAATATATATAGGAGCTATAGCTATATCTGAACCGGTTTCGATTGAATTTGGCATACTTATTTTCAGGCCTAGTTTGGTTGTATGTGCAAAATTCCATACTATTCGGGCTGATATTACACGTTTGGTGCACAATAAAAGGTAAATCGGTCGAAGATATATATGGGAGCTATATCTTAATTTTGACCGATTATCTCCAATTTCAATAGGGTTCGTCTTTGGGTCAAACAAATGATTTGTGCAAAATTTCATCTGGATAGGGACAATAAATGCGAGCTGTACTTTGTTTACAAAAATACATGGACAGACGGACGAACGGACAGACAGACAGACGGACGGACATGCATAAATCGACTCAGAATGTGATTCTATGCAGATCATCAAAAGGAACTATGGGTCCATCTAGTTTCTTTTTGCCTGTTACAAACAAATGCACAAAGACATAATACCCTGACCACCTTGTGGTGTAGGATATAAAAATACCGCATTATCGCGTTTTTATGACTGGAATTTTGAGAAGATATTATCTCGGTCCTATGGAACAAAATTCAATTACATTTGGCGTCCATTACACATACATTTTTGTCGTGGCAATTTTTGGAAGCACGTGGGATATATACACATAGCACATCATTCGCCAAACAAAACTGCCGAGAGAAAGAGTTAAAGTGTGACCAACGCGTGTTAAAGTGGTGGTGCCTATTTTGGGGATGATATTCCTTTGGTGCAATGAGTAAATAAATTCTATACACACACAACACCCTCACAGATGTCCAATTCAAATACAGAATACCAAAGTACATAACTCGAATACATAACGGATTAATTTGGGTTATATCTACCCAAAACAAAAAAAATCAATGAAACTGCCATAAATTTTCACTCTTTCTGCAACAAATATTTATCTGTAAATAGGTTTCAAAGCAGCCGTTCTATCGACTCCAAGACACAGACATAAGCATTGAAATATGAAATGTGCATTTTCACTTGAATATGACGGCTATTGTTCCAGCCAAACTCACTCGATATGGCGTTCAGTAATTCCTTTTTTGAATTAATCTCTGTGAAAAATCTGCAGTCATTGCCGAGTGATGATGGTCAATGGGAAAACGCATTCTTCGTCCATTTGCACGCATACGGTTTTTTATAATTACCACCAAATGACGTTGTCCTCAACACGGGCAGGATAGATTCCATGGCGTGATTGATAGACATTATTCTCGATAGTTCCCTTTGTGGCTTCTTGACAATGACATTTGCGATTGACCCTTTTCACATTGGCATACCCATGCTATGGTAAAGGCAACGTGGTTTCAGTGAAAATTGTCACTAATAATTGTTCGAAAAGCAGGCTTATCTTTTTTAAGTAAATAATTGCAATTTTGGAAAGGCCAAATGAATTTCGTTTAACCAAACTAGTATTTGCACATCTTTTCTGAGGTACAGTTTGCCAGGGATATCAGGACTGGATTTCTCCAACTTGTTCAGCAGGGATGTGTACCTTTGAATGTCTTTTCAATTAGTATGTCATTTTTAGTACAACCGAAAATTTATGAAATAATGAACTGATCTTAAAAGTATAAAATGAAATGATGTTATTTTTGTGGTTTCTTTCAGTTTTCAATAACACCTCTCAGCAAATGAGGGAAATGGCATCTTTGTATCAGATGCATCGCACCGGACCCCACGTCAAAATACGCCCTCCACGTCAACCTTTAGATGGTAAACCCTTTGCCAAGGGTGTTGTCCTGAAGACACTCATCAAGAAACCAAAAAAGCCAAACTCAGCCAATCGGAAGTGTGTTCTGGTGCGATTGTCAACTGGAAAGGAAATGGTAGCGTATGTCCCCGGTATTGGTCACAACTTGCAAGGAGCATAACATCGTTCTGTGTCGCGTGGGTCGAGTTCAAGATGTACCCGGTGTAAAATTAAAATGTGTCCGTGGAGTGTACGATTTGAATCATGTTATTAAAAATAAATAATAGAAAAATACAAAACAAAAACATTAAATTAAACAAAACAATACTTGTCATTTGCTTAGCCGAAGAATATGAATGCGCGCCGTGCGACATTAGCATCATAGTTATGTCTAAAAAATCAGGGATTATCTTTTCTCCTTGCCTGTGTTATTTTGTGTGCGTTTTTGTCCTGCTTTAACTTTAAGTCAACAGCGTCAACGTCTTTTTGCATTGAAGTCTACCATTGTTGTTTTGTTGTGGTCCTCCCTCTTACGAGGAAATAATAACCAAACGGGATTTCGTTTGTGTTTTTACACTTTGGCATAATCTTTTGTGGTTAATCTATAATTTAATGCACTTTGCTTTGTTGTTTTCTTTCTTCGATATTTTTGCATGTTCATTATTCGTTGAATAAGAATTGCCAGTCCTACCAATTTGATGGCAAATTAGTTATTGTCTTTTTGCTTGTGTCAGGATTTACGTCTCGCCCATACGCCTATTTTTTACAGCAATCAATACCCTTTTCTTACGTTTCATTTTCTCAGTATTGGAGGTGGGAATTCAAATGCAAGAAAAAGATGTGTTTGTTTCCATCGTGCCAAAGAAACACAATTGCACACTTACACGTCTGTGTTAGAGAACGAATCTCAATATTTCATCACATGAATACGTTCTAACTAAGTAAAGAATAAACAGTTTAAACAGAATGAGAAAATCATACAGGTGAAGCAAAGCAGTTCGATTTGATGTTATAGACGATTAAAGTAAGGACAATTCAAGTTATTCAAGTATGTTAAAATATTTATTTGAGTGGAAATTATATATATTCATAAAAATTGCTTTTAAGCATTCATGATGAAGTGCGAGTAGTTTCGTAATTTTTTTTGCTATAACAAGTCAAAAAACATTAAGTTCGACCGGGCAAACTTTTAATATCCTCCACCTTAGGGTGGAGGAAACATTAGAACCCATTATCACCCATAAATACCAATTTTTAGGCATATTCGTGGGAAAATTTAAAATACCAAAAATCAGGAGGTACCGTTATATGGGGCCTAGACCCATACATACAATATTTCACCACACGAACTAGGACCCATTATGACCTACAAATACCAATTTTCAAATACCATTGGAGCTAGAACCCGCTATGACCTACAAATACAATTTTTAGACAAATCCGTGAAAAAATGTGGCAATATATAAAGGGTTTTTTCTAATCCCTATTAAATTTTAATCAATTTTTTTATTCAAAAGATCAATACGTGACATTAACATTTGAAAATGATTTCGGGCATATGGGCACCGCGGTTGTTCTTGACGAAGTGCATTCTGGACGTCCAATTTTTGGCCACTTCTTCGAGCACTGCTGGCCGTATGTCACGAATAACACGAACAATGCTGGCCTCCAAGGCGTCAATTGTTGCTGGTTTATCAGCATAAACCAGTGACTTCACGTAGCCCCACAGAAAATAATCGAGAGTTGTCAAATCGCACGACCTTGGAGGCCAATTGACAAGTCCACTTCTCGAAATCAACTTATCGCCAAATTTTGATTTCAATAGGTCGATGGTTGCGGTCGCCGTATGGCACGTAGCGCCGATCTATCTCATTTTCAATACCAACCATCCTAGACACAATACAAATTGTTCCGCTAAATTTTGACGATTTACGTCAAGTAATGTGGGCTGTATCGTGATTTCAACTGACACACGGACATCGTTAAATCGACCTAGAACTTTATGCTGATTATGAACATTTATGGGGTCTACGACGAATATATAGGGATATTACAAACGGAATGACAAAGTTAAAATACCCTCCTTTCCAAGGTGGAGGGTATAAAAAGAAGATAAGTTGTGAGTATTTACAGGGGGTATTGACTTTAAATCATATGTAAATGCTAACCATCAACCAGTATGAAGAGATATTCATATAATTCGTAATAAACACCCTATAGTTTATTAAGTACAGCAACAATAATAATGAATAAAGATAATAAACTATATACTACGCTTTATCTTTAATTTTAATTTAACTTTCCATATGCCTCTTCGTATTAACAAAAGTTCAGCTCATGCTGTGCTGATGTTTAACATACTATATGGTTTGGAAGTTATGTGGGATTGTATCGGGAACCATTTTAAAAATTTAAAAGAAATTTTGTTGTCCGCTTTGTTTATAGCTGATTTTGTTTCCTATAGAACTATTGTTGGCCTTTATAATATTATTATATGTCGCAAGCCAACATCTCTATAAAGAATTTCTATGGTTGTCAAATAATTATAACGAGGATTTATTGAGATATTTATGCGACATCTTTCTGAGTTCGAGGAACGCGGGATTGGAATCTATTACTGTATGAACTAAGTGTTTTTTCCTCAATTACAGTAACATTTTTATAAAGAAACTTTTAATTCACACAAAAATCTTTCTTAAGTAGCCTTTTTTCTGGCGTTAATTTACTCTAACGATCTTCATTATATAAACAATTTCTGAGAAATTGTTTACTTGGTCTACATTTTTTAGTTCCATTATGGCAGGGGAGCCAACGACGAGAAAATAATATACATATAAGTATTGGAAACTTGGTTTTGCAAGCTACCTAATATGATTTTATGGCCTTGAAGATCTTATATTACACAAATAGTGCAGCCAATCTTTTAGGCAGTTGATGTAAACTATTTCATAGAGTTTGGCATGAATCGATTAATTATATCTCAAATATGGCTAATCATTTTATTAAAATTGTGATATGTTAAGAAAATGTTAATAATATATTTCCAATTTAGATTCCATAAATTAAATCGAATCCGTGTCCATGACATATCAGCATATTCTTTAAAACTCAAGATCATCAACAGATCCCCTCTGGAAAGAGAGCGTTGAAAACAGAATGAAAAAGATGGCTCCAATATCTATCCTTTAGAAACATCACTACTTACAGCTGAAACAGTTTTAAACGTATCTTCAGCACAAGCCAATTGTTGCAGATAAGAAGTCACCAGCGAGTACTTAAATTCTTCACGACACTCGGAGCATCTTCTGAAAAATAATTGTTCTACAAATGAAAAGTTATCTGAAATGTAATGCAGAAATCGGGCCTAACTTTTATAGCCCACCAAATCCAGCTGCATTGAAGTGAATAGAACTACACCAACAACTCAGCAGAAAACTGAAAATGTCAGGGACGTCGATGAAAGTTGATTACCAGAAAACGACATTTTGAAATATTTCAGAAAGAACGTAGTAGATTGTGTTGGACTGGAAACGTCCACGACTTTTGGAGCAAATAAAAGCTCGAACTAGCCTCTGCCTCCTATCGTTCTTCTCCCTCTCAAAACAAAATGGTTGCCTTCGACAAATGCCACCCATTAGCCTAAAAGGCTATCAGACATTTCACAAAATATCGATTTAAATGACCAATTATGATTGATTTTATTTTTCATCTTTTCTTCTTTTTTCTTTTTTTTTGAAAAACCATTTGCAAAGTAACTAATTTCAAATTCGATTTCAATCACTTGGGATAATCCACTATGGCGAATTCGTTATTGGGTAGAAATTATCGAATTACAATGAGCACGTCGTCACAGATTATTACATAGCTATTTTCTTTTCAATGTTGAATCAACTTCTGTAAAATTTTGTGAAGAAAGAATGGAGAAACTGCAAATGGACACATTCTCTGGAAATTTCATGCTTCAGCCGAATAACAATGCAACAATTTTCTGACTAATAAGTTGGCCTATTGTGCGACACGGCATGAGAGACCTTCACACATTTCTGTAGGACCACATCCTGCCGCAGAGGATGTGGCCGAGGTAAAACACCACGGTTGCTTGTTTGCGTTGACTCAGCAGAAAACCGATCACATGGAAAACAAACAAGATATGCGACAAGGAATGCAATGTCCACAAACAGATAATATCCAGTTATGATATGTGCTTGCTCACATGAGGAACGATTCCCGTTAACTGGCAAATGGAATTTCGAATGGCGGCACTGGTCTTAAGATCACCAACTTCATATACGCCATTATGACTCGAATACCCGTTACTTGGAATACTTGTACACGATGTCGCCCATTGTTTGCGGAATCTATTGTGGTCATTTGCCTATTGGCGGCAAGACTGTTTTATTTGCCAAAGTCATAGTGGTCATCATCAGAGTTGTGTCCAGCAGACGAATGGAAAAAATGTCCTTTTGTTGATCTAACGTCAGGTGATGAACGGTACTGCAATTGCCTTTTAACGGTCTTCGATGTCGTGGCTTTGCAGGTTAGCATGTTTATTTTAATAAAACTGGTTTAAAATAGATCCTGTTTCCACTGAAGTGAGCTCTTTGATCTTAGTCCGAGTAGTCAGAGAACGTAGACAATATGAAATATAAAGCAAAGGAAAACGTTTTTCAGGCCCGTTGTTATTATCGAAGCGATCCATAGAAAGGTAAATATATATGGATCTAGCCCCAAGGTAATCTCGAATGGTAAAGTTATTTCGTGTATCAATTAGTAATCCCACACTTCTTTACAATATTGGAATCTAGTTTTAGTTTGTTTTAAAGTATTTGAATACTTTTATGAATTCAATTCTTAGTAAATAAAGGTTATGATAAGGATGCCGCACTAGAGTTATCCATCGTCAAAGAAAGAAACCACAATTTTAAAAAAGATAGGTTCTAAATAACCTGGTCACATAGTTAAGAACGGTGTTAGGAAGTCAAGCCACATTTTTTTAAGATACTCATGCCATGGAAACACTGACGTAGGCAGAAATGCCTTCCGAGGTCGTCTTGGGAGGAGGTATATCCCCACAATGTCGGCGAACCAAATGTATTTTGAGATTGTTGACCCATAAACAGTGAATATTTACCATCAAATTGGTTTTTATGCTGGCTTAATGCATCCTCGGCAAGTCATTTTTGTATTGAGTAAAGGTTGAAAACTTTAAGACGAGATAAAGAATGCCTTAATAATAGAGATATCGGTATTCAGTTTTAAACTGAGCTCCATATTAAAGCGAAATCTGTTGGAAAATGCAGTTTAGATCTTGAAAATGGGCTTCATAGACAATTTTCTGTTACAGGTATTCGTATCTACTGTAGGTTCCAAGCACAATTCCTTTAAAAATTGTGATTAAAAACAACTGAATACCGAATTTCGGGAGGTACGCTTTATGGGTGCTATAGGAAAACGAGTTCCTACGATACTACAGTGGTTGGTATATTTGATAAAAATCTAGACGAAAATCATTAAAATATTAAATACCTTTAGAAGCTGCTATATGTTGTCCTATATAGGCAGTTTCTTCCGCAGGAGGTACAGCCCATTCGGAACTATAAAAACCGAATTTAAAGCAAATCCTTTTCCAAATGTGGTTTTAATCGTCAAAATACTAAATATCGGAGGCACCGTTATAGGGGCTATACCAAAATGTTAGACGACATGACAGAATTACGAACATGGTCTGTCTAGTGACCAAATACGCATACGGGTCTGTGCAATATGTTAGCGTTTTATTTCAATTCGATCGAAGAGTATCATGATTACAAAGACAGATATACGAACATCACTGAAGCCGACCTGGAATATCACGCTGATAAGAATAGACACTATGCCCTCTATAGTATGAGGAGGGTATACAATTCAAATATGTTCCAAAAATTAGCTAAATGCAGATAGAATGTGGTGTTTCCATCTTTTAAATGTTTATTGCTTGAAGCGTTATTTCCACAAATGTTCCCCATTGTAGTTCATCACTGTACTGCTCAAAATACTTGTATTGACCGATCCAGATCCAGGATCTAGATCCAGATACGTGTCCTTTCCCTTTAAAACCATTGGATTTGAAATTTTCTGAAAGCTGTGTGCATTTCCCATAAAGAACTCATCCTTTAGATAGGAAAATGAAAATTTGTAAGTTTACAACCACTCACTCCAATTGAAAATTTCAATTTATTTCGAATGAAACTTTTATCTTCAGACGAAAAAATCCCAGTTGCTTTCCGCTGTCATATGCCAGTGCATGCGTCTGTCTACATGGACTCTATCGACCTGATTAGAAGGGGCTTGCATTAAACTCGGTAATAGAAGGTAATCCTGATCTTATTTAACAAACAATGCCATTCGAACTCTTTAATCTGGGGGCATTAGGCCGAGTTTAATGGAAAAACTGGATCAGATTATGCGAAAAGGAGTACAATTTTCAAACTACACACTACTTACTCGATTTTGATCCAGCCGCTAGAAATCGAAGGAGCGAGCGTCTGCTTTAGCTTAAGTCCACGTTTAGTCTGCCCGAGATTAAATTAAAATGTCGCGCTCTAATCGCTACTTGCCTCTCGGACTAGGAGATTTCGTGGTGCGAGTGTTATTTGCTTAAATCCTGATCGTTTTAATCTCGCTCACTCTCGTGTTTGCATTTCTGCCGATCGACGGCATACGTAATTTTTGCGCAGATTATTACCTGAATTAACCTGATTTAAAATCGAATTTTTCCCAAATTTATGGGATTAAGTTCCGCTCAAGTTCCTTTAACTCGTTTAAGCTACCGGATTTACAAATACTTATGTCTGAGCGGCGAATTACACGCTCGAATATTTAAGTTCGAATTACCTGCGCTGTGTCTGCTCTGCCTAAGGCGCAGCTTAAATTCTTTGATCTCTTCTTCACGTGCGTGCATACTAGCGATTAATGCGCGCATGCGAGCGTGTGTGAGTGTGTGTGTGCGAGAGAGAGAGGTACTTAAGACGCTCTAGCCCATTTATTGAGGGGGCTTTAATTAGGTCAATTGTTTACAAAATGTTCCTCGGCATTGCGTACTCTTTCGAACCGAACCCGTTGATCGTTTGCCAGAGAGTGGATTGTGAGCAGCACACGCCTACCGAAGTTCCTTATCCAGCAGGCAAACATGTGGGCATGTGTATTCCCAGCGCGAAATCCATACATGAGATTTCTAAATTCCATTTAAAAATTAGACTAATCATGGATCAATGAACTTGTTGGGCCATGATCCGCAACGATCTGACTAGCCGACTAGCCGAAGGATTAAATTGGGTAATTGTAACAAAGACCACAGAATCCGCAATGCCGGCCAGCATTGGATATGGGAAAATTTTTATAAGAATCTAAATTGTATTTGTAGGAGTTTGTTTTGGGCATGTGGCGGCAGTTTGCAGTCTGGAGATACATTTGCATGCTCTTGAGTTTGAAAATGCATTAGATGTGACACAAAACGGCATATTCTACAAACATATAAATAATTTTCAACATCCATACGCCGATATTGCTATTCAAAGGGTTCGATGGCTTGAAATGAAGGGCGAAGAATGCCACTAGAGACGGAGGTACAGTTTTTCATGTAGATCTGTGAGTTAATAACCCATTAGGCCGTGTGACAACACCAAGGACCCAACTCTTAAATCATTTTCCATTGGGAGATATTTCCAGCGAATCCTCTAAAATTACTCCTCAGATGCAACGCCATTGTCCAGTCCTAACAAATTGACCAATCATTAATCACACGAACAAGTCACATGTGGTACATACCTTAGTTGCTTCATTAGTTCAAATTACAAATCGTTGAGAAGACTAACCATTTAGTCCAGAAACCAACCGGAACCGACAATCATTAGCCATTCTCAGTTTGACAGTTAGCTCACCCAGCGAGCAGGACTGGAAGGATAATTTTGTCAATGTGGTGACATTATGCCGTAGAATGGCATGACAACATCATTAGAATATGCCTTTTCAAAAATGACAGGACCAACAACTGAAAGGATTGCGAAGGAGACGAAGAGTTTAGAGTCTGAATAACTTAATCCGTGTTTGTACTCACTCTTCGTGCTGAAAAATAACAATCCTTTCTGTGAATTGTTCAGTGTTATTTTTAAGCAACTGTCGCCATCAGCCTCCTGGTCCTTCTGGCGTAGAGGGCATGTGGTTGCTTTCCCGCAATTCTTTACAAATTATTCCAATATTATATGTTAAGTAAATATTATTGTTTGTATAGTGCAGGAAAACGAAGGAAGAAGAAGGCTGAATGGCTTTCCATTCTGGACAATGTTTTTCTTTTCTTTTACATACAAAGGACACGTGTTCCCAATCGATGAGGTATGCCAGAGTTCTCCATAATGAATTTTCAAGCCTATTAACAAATACTACTTGGTGAAAGGCGAAAAGCCAAGCTTGGCGATTATATCCTGACTTGAAATTCATTTGTCCACATCCAACACTCTTTTCTACCAATAATTGTTTCCATTGAACTTTAAATTGTTATTAGGTCAATTGATACATTTGAGTACATTTCTCAGCAGGACGCTCCGTAACTCGATAATGTAAATTGCAACTGGATTGCCATTTCCTGTACTTTGAATTATCGAACAACATTTTATACAAATTATTATTATTATGCTAACCGGAAACATCACTCCGAATAAA